TATTGTTGGGTAGAGATCAAAACTCGACTTAAAAGGTTATTAAATCCGTCTCGCCTGTTATATTCGATAACAGTTATCGCACACATGAAAATTAAAATTAGCGTTTCAGTGGAACCATTCAATTCAAACTACTAGAATAGCCTGAACCGGTTTAGATAAAGAAAAAAATTAAACTTTAAATTCCAGAACTTTTCAAATGCGATTGAAATTCTTTCTAAAATAAATACTTCTAATGAGCTCTGTAAATAATGCGTTGTACACTTATTAAAAATAAAGTATAGTAGATTATTAATTATGTCTGTTAATTAATATAGGGATTATTATAGCTATAAAATAATATAGAATATTAATTGTGTTTTTAAAAGTTATTATTAATTTCTCGTACTTTTTACTAAATATTTTGAAACATATGAGTCGAAAATGTTTTTTTAGAAACTAAATTCTTTTCACTGGAAAACAACAGATGGTTCAATTTCGTATCATTTTAATGTTTACTTATTTTTAATTTGCACAGTATTTATGTACATTGTTCGCAATTTTGTGATCACTACTTACTTGTTAACTAATATATTAAACAAAAATAGTCCTATACGACTTTTTTTTATTTTATTTTTTTACAGGTTTTATATCTTAATTATCAAAAATACATATTGATACATTCGCATACACATATTGATATGAATATTGATACATTCATTTGTACCAAGCTATTTTATTTTCAAAAACAACTTTCATGATTATTATTAATGTACTGTCAAAAATATTTATACAGGTTAATCATTACTTAATATAACATATTCTTAAAGTTATTATTTCATTTCTTTATTTATTATCATTTAGAATTATTTTTTAATTAAAAAAAGTAGACTGAATTGTATAAACCATTCAACAAACGTAACAATTTTCTAGATGTATTTAGGGGGTGGGCAGAGAAATTAATATTAAAATAGATATGTATTTAGGTGTAAAAGTAATGATTGTTCCGCACATATACCCAAGATTTAAATATTTTTAAGATCGGAATTTCCAAGATTACATACTTTTAAAAGATATTTTTAAATCTTTTTCATTTTATGAAGTAGAATAGTGCATACAATCCAAATCCCACCACTCTTTCATCGTGAAAAATTGTGCTTTAACGTGGTCCAAAATTTTTAACTGTGTTGGGAACAATAGTTACCTAAATTAAAATCTTAACACTTGAATCAAAAGGTCAAATGTTTGAAGTCTTAACTTCGCCATTTAATGAATTATTTTGAGCCACAAACCAGCAGGTATTCTTCCTAATTTGGTTCATTAAGCAGAGGCATCTCAGTGGAGAGTTCGAAGCGGGGGTTGGCCAGTGATTAATAATGCTTTGTTGCACGTGTCCTGAGCCGAAGATAAAAACAAGAAGAAATTACGACAACGAAAACAGCGGGAACTCCGGAAGTTTATTGCGTACATTACTCAAAAAACACCAGCTGCCAAAATGAATATCCGTTCACCTCTTTCCAAGACATCAAGCGCAGAAAAAAGAAGGCTGATCATTAATTTTCCAGGCCGCTACTTAGTATTAAATTCTCAAAAGAGAGCAAGGTGTGAGGAATTAAGTTTCTTTGGAATGAATGAACTGGGTGAAAATATAAATCGTTTGCTCATTGTGGAATTCCAATCCAAATTTCTTTTTCACTAAGCAAGCTGGTATAAGCTTTAGTAAAAGTGTATATAAATTCCGCTGAATTTATTTTTGTTTTATACTAATTTACTTTCAGTAATGAAGAAAATAAATTTAGAAAAAATAGCTGAGAAATTTGTTACGAAAAAGATATCTGGTAATTTTATCTTCGATCTAATTTACTTTCAGTATATTCTATAAATAGTTTATACGATTAGTAAATGCATCATAAATGTTACAAAAATGTCACACTACTCGCAGAGAAAAATAATTAAGTAAATTAGGTCTTTGTATAATTTAATAAGAAGGGAAGAAATGATAGGAATTAAAATTTTTAATATAATTACAATTTCAGGATAAAATTTTAATATTATAGTATTATTGATGATAAATTTATTACTTAAATAATATATTTGTTGATTATATTAATTAAATAATAAACATATTATTTTAATTTTATTACTATTTAACTACATTTGGTAATGGGAAATATAAATGTCAAACAAGTTATGAAAAATTATTATTATCATTTGTGCAATAAATTTTAAAAAAAAGTTTAAGAAAAATTTAAAAAAATTCTGTTATTTACTTTAATTTTTAAGCTATATTTTTATATCAGTATAAACTATGTTGTTAGTATTTACAATACACAAGTATAGGTGTAGAATGTTTTTAGTTGTGAAGAAAATATTTATTTAGTTAGTTAAAGAAAAGTTTTCAACGAGTAAAGAATTAAACATTTGCAATAAAAAAATAAAATGAAGTAATAAAATAAATCTTTTAATTTTTTATAGTTTAGTTTTAGTAACGAAAATTTTTTTTATCTCATTTGCAATGCAAATAAATAATACAATAATACAAATCAATAATAACTGAATGGAAGGGAAAAACCTTATTCGAAATCACTGCTTTATTCTTTATTTACTCTCTCTCTTTTTAACTCGGACATGGATAATTCGGACTTATATTACTTCCTCCTACTTTTTTTTTCTAAAATTCGAACATTTGCTCAACTTTTGGATTAATTCAAAATTCGATTAAACTAAACTCAAAATAATTTTTCATTTTGCAAAAAATCTTTTTAGAATAGGATCAATTTTTATCTGCACGGAGAAATTTCAGATACGAACATAAATGATACAATACTGTGTTTCTTCTGAATCCTTAAAAATGACTAATAATCTAAAAAGGTTTGTGAAATCTCAAACTAATGATTAAAAAAACATGCTTCACGCTATTGAATATTTAGTTAAGAGTGTAAAAATTAAGTCAACTGAAACCGACTGTTAGTAAGAAATATTCTAAGAGAATCCAGATAGAGATTATTCATATCATTGTGCATGCAACTTTTGTGTTTATGAATTTCTAATCATAAAAACTCCCCCAAATTTAGAATGGTACTTTGACCATATTTTTCCTCCTTTTATAAATAAAAAAAAATATGTGGATTGTTTGAATGGCGATGGGTAACTGATTTTGAATACTTTATGGAGGATATTAACAACAAAGAAAACACCTCTTTAAATACTTGATAACTTTTCACTGAGACATGACCGATTTTATGCCATTTTTGAAATTATAATCAACAATAAATACAAAAATTTATGAAAAACTTCTAATGAATAACTAAAGACAAACATCAACAATAATTTTTTCATAGTTGAATTTTTCTTATTTTTAGATATCAAAATAACACCATCATCAACAATTTAAAAGTTGAATAAAAAAATTTAATGTAACTTATAATTATTAAAAATATGTTTTTATTTATATTAATCGTAAGATTTTTGTTGTAATTTTTTATGATTTTTGTTTTGTTCTGTAAGTAAGATTTTTGTTAAATAAACTTAAAAGCGAACTTCTATATTATATAGTCAACCACCAATTGTATGAATAGCAATTTAGTCATTTTTAGTCGAGACAAAAGTTGATTGACCATGGACGCTTTTTTTAACTGTGTAAAGTCATAAGAGAATAAAATCTACACTCAGATGCCAGATTTAAAGTACGAATAATTCTATTATTAAAATTTTAAAAACCAAACGATTTTAAAGGTTACTGTATTTTGGTGTTTATAGTATGTAAAAAAACCATTGTTTGTTTTTTCTAATTGAAATAAGTTTGAGTTATCATTTAAATTTTGTTCAACTTTCAAGACTATTGAAGAACAGTAGTTGATTACAGAAAAAAATTTTGATATACACTTTTTAATTCGATAAAAAAGATATAAATTGAAAGTTAAAGAACTGTTCAAAAATCAGATTCTTTTTAAATATTTTTTCTAAAAGTGTGTCTGAGAACCATTTAATAAAGATCGGAAAATGATTATTTTGTCAATTTGAAATCTTAGGTTTTTTGTGTGAAATAGAGACATCAAGGGGTTACAAGAGACATAAATAGTTTAAACAAAACATGTTGTTCCAAAAGAAATTGAATAAAACTTATTATGGTTTGTATAATCCAGAAAGATTAAATAGCTTAGTTTACATTACTACAATATTGCAGCTTAATTGTGAAAACGTAGTTGTTAATTAAAAGAAAACATATTACACCTTCCACAAGCTTATAATTGTCATTTGATAAAATCAAGTTTTTTGTCACATTCGTTAATTTAAAATTAATTTTAATTTTATAAAATATAGAATAAAGTCATTATTTGCTTTTTTTACTTAATAAATAATCTAACCTGGATCTATGATGCTACATTTAAATACACAGATTTATTTAAGGCACATTTATGCATGTTGTCCAGATTTTAAAATAAAATTCTATTTTTTTTTCTTTTTTGAAAATTCATAAAATTTTTGAACTTTATTTTAAAATTGACATTGTTTTAAAAGTCGCAAGATATGAGAAATTCATAAATTTATTCATGTTATTTAGCGAGCATTTAATATTTATGTCCAATCGCAATTCCTGCTTTCAAAAATAAATTCCACTAAAATACGTTCTCGAAATATTTTCTTTCTTTATTTATTTAAAATTTTTCTTTTTTATCGAAGATTATTTCTTTTTATTGAAGTATATAGCAGAAAAATCTGGTTTTTACTTTATTTTTTTAGAAATTTTCCATTGATAAAAAATTCCGCATTAGAAAAGATGTAAGAATCTTTCACTTAATTCTGAAAAAAAAAAAATTATGGCTAAATTAANTCTTTTTATTGAAGTATATAGCAGAAAAATCTGGTTTTTAGTTTATTTTTTTAGAAATTTTCCATTGATAAAAAATTCCGCATTAGAAAAGATGTAAAAATCTTTCACTTAATTCTGAAGAAAAAAAATTATGGCTAAATTAATCATTAAACTACTATCCAACAATAAATCTAATTAACTATTGACTCACCCCAGCAGGATAAAGTATTTTCAACAAAGACGAAGATTTAAACACTTTCTCTTCCACTTTAACATCATTTTTACCGGACACTGCCGGAATTGTAGTATTAGCTTCAACTGATGAAAAAATCCCCACCACCACTAGCATCATGATCCGAAGCATCCCCGCGTGGATGAGGCACCGTTGCGGCTGTTCAGAGCGCATCATCTTTGAGAGAGGAGAGAGAAAAAAAGCAAACATATAAGAAGGCAGCTGAAGAACTTAGAACAGGTGCGTTGAGGTGGACTATTCGCGGGCTTTTTGAGATTTCCCGCGCGCGCGGCTCTACAACTTTTCGCCAAGCTCCATTGCATGTAGTGCGGAGGGGAGGGGGGAGTCAGAAATGTGGATGGAGGTGTTGGATAGGGAAAAGAAAAATGCATAAAAAAAATAAGCAAGGTTTACATTGGGTAGAAATGAATGAATGAACGGAGCGGGCTTGGCGTAGAACTAATTTAATTGATAGGTTAAGTCAGATAGAAAAAAAGTATTCTTTTTCTTTCTTGCTTTTTTATTTTTTTTAAGATGAGCTTGTTTATACAAAGAAAATAGCTTTCAATTCGTTATTCAGCATGTATATATTATACATATATTTTTACCGCGTGATCGTCTTGATTTTTGGCAGTTAGTAACACAAAGGGAGCTCCACCCCTAGTTCGCTTCGATCATCCTCCCAGGAGTACTTTCCTATGAATTTTGTCCATTGATTATAAATATCTAACATCATAATAATATATAACAAATAAAAGATTCCAAATTCTTTTTCGTTGCATTTGGGCAGATTTGATAGCACAGATTCAGCATTTAAAATAAAATGCTGCTTAAGATAGCAATATCATAGGCCTTATATAATAAAAAATAACCACTTTTGGTTTTAAGCAGCCTTTAATTTTGAATGATGATCGAAACAAACGTAATAATAGCAGAAAATAATATTAAGATAGATTGATAAATAAATTAAATATTACGGGTAAATACCGTTATAACTTTTATTAACTTAAAGCTGATTGTAACAAAATGAATACAATTTTTTGTTTACGTCTTCTGATTTTTCTGCCCAATAAGAATGCGAGCAATTGTGAGACAGCCATTATCTTTTCATGACATACGGAGAGATCAAGTTTATGTAATAGTATTAAATAAATTGAAAAGGAAACAAAAATAATGGACTGAAACTGAAGAAGGACTCATAAACTCAATAATACAAAAAGTAAGAATAATATCTTCGTAATTTTCAATAGTTCTTAAAATGTTTTGATAGACATGAATTTTATCGACTAGGGTAAACTAAACAGTGAAGGAACACTTAAGCTTCGCTTGCAGTTTAAAAAATCATATTAATTTAAAAATTCGTAATTTTAGTTAAATGACAGTGTCAACATATTTGTTACTAATTGCAAATTATGTAAAAAAATTGTAGAGAACTTACATAATATTGTTTTAAAGTTTTGGAGGTTCAAATAACAAGTAGTAAGAAGACCAAGTGAAGGAACAGCTCTTACCAGTGAATGAACACCCAGTAAAGGAACACTTAATTTTGGTTATTTTTTAATGCTCTTTATGAATTTATAAGCCATACAAATATTTAAAAACAAGCCTATTCTTGAAATTATAACATATAAATACTTGGAAAATGTTAACTTTTTTTTGTAATCATGAATTGAAAATTTAAGTGTCAACATATTAACACATACTGTTCATTCACTGGGAAATCTATGCCCAGCAAAGGAACATGCCTGTTCCCTCACTGGTTAGAAGTTTTTTTTCGTATTTTTAACATACTTTTGATGCGGAACATCACTAAAGGTACAAGAAAATTAAATTTTATCTTTTATTTTCATTAACTTAGAAAAAACCCAGTAAAGGAACACTTGTTCCTTCACTGGTTTTTCTTCTTTTGGTGATCCAGTGAATAAACACCCCTTATCTCAGTACTTTATTATGCTATGATGCTTAAAAAAAATAAAACGTAACTTCAATAACTATATTTTGAATTCTTATTTTCACAGTGAAAAAAATAAAACTATTACATGCAATTAATTCCACTTCAAACATATAAATACAAACACTCACCTTATAATTTTTTCAAAGAAACAATGTGTGGCAGAGATAATAACAGATTCAAAATTTTTTCCAGGGAAGTCTATTTGACCAGGTAATCCAAAACATTGCTAGATTACTTCCTATTGTTTGGCAGTAAGCTATTGTTACCAATCAATCTAAAGAAAAACTTTCAAATTCTTATTTTTAATCAATATATATGAAATGTTCCTTCACTGGGTAGTATTCCTTCACTGGTTGGTTTGCCCTATATATTACTGAAAAGCAATAATTTCGAAAATACAATGTTATATGTAAATAACTTCAGAATATTTAGTATTAATAAAAATTAAAACAAATTAAATGATTTATAAAAAAAACTTTTTACTTTATAAGTTTTATGTTTTTTTTCTGCAGTAATAGGAATCAAATTATTTAAAAAACGTTACAGTAACAAATTTTCAGTTTGTTTTATGCTTTGAAAAATTTAATCTTTTTTTCAAACCATGTTATAAATAAAGTAAATGGCATAAGCCGAGAGAAAGCCTGTTTTAAAACTGACTGATACATGAAATTCCGAAAGCATATACCTTATTACTTAGTATATTGATATATATTTAACTTTATCTGTCCACAAGCGTTCTGAAAATAAAAATAAAAATTTCAATACTGAACCATAATATCGGTATCTTGAACCATAGTACTGGGCTAATTTGTTGCAACCATAGTAAAATGATAAATAAAACTTTGTTCTCATTCAAGTTGAACCATAGTTCTTTGTAAATTTGCAACAACCTCAGTAAAATGTTAAATTAAATTGTAATCTTTTCAAGTTGAACGATAGTATCGGACATCCTTTCTGCAACCTTAGTAAAATGTTAAATTAAAATGTGTTTCCGTTTAAGTTGAACCAGAGTATCGAACAACTTCTTTGCAAACTCAGTAAAATGTTAAGTTAATGTGTGTATCAGTTCTAAATGAACCATACTGCCTAATAAATTAACTGCAATCTTAGTAAAATGTTAAATTAAAATATGTTTCCGTTCGAGTTAAACGATAGTACCGGACAACCGCTCTGGAACCTCAGTAAAATGTTAAATTAAAATGTGTTTCCGTTTAAATTGAACCATATTATAATTATATTATAACCGTCGTTGAACAACAGACGCAATTTTGGGTTTACGACTACTAATGTTCAACTCCGAAGCCTTGTAATTTCGAACCAATAGAGAAGACAAGGAAACTCCCGTATCAGTACCCCCAGAGGTATTGATTTGTTATGGGAACAAGGAGGACTTTGAGACTCGACAGATTTTACGACACTCGACACGATTACGATTTATTGAACAAGTCCAAGTAATAAAAGTTTTGTAGTTCAAGGTTTTAAAATTAATTAGTTTATGTTATAAGTATTGCACTTCAAGGGACAGTTTAGAAATTAATTAAAAAAATTTACACCAAGAATCCTATGTTTTTTTAGACAAATGTTTTCTACGAATGTTATTCGATAAATTGATTCAATATATTCTGATATTGAGCTTTCATTTTTTCTAACACTAGCTGTCAAATCTCTAGTATATCATTGAAAGTTTTTTTTTAATGCTTATGACTGTTCACTCGCTGGATATTTCATTCTTTAGTTTTTTGTTGTCAACGCGAAAAAGAAATTTTATTGCCTTTTTAACGATCTACATGCATGCGCATTAGTGTTTTACATAATAAGGCTAGAGGACTCCACTCTCTGATTGCTATGCTGCCAGTCTCTGGAACTGCTTTCAGTTTTTTTTTTCTTTTTCTTTTCGATTGCTTTGCAATCCGAACTGGCTCTGCTTGCTTAGTGGATACTGATACATTTTGGTTTCGCTTTATTTCAATGGTAATGTTCTTTTTGTTATATAGCTCTAAATATATGCAACATATATATCCCGTGAAATCTATGATCTATATACATTTCAATCATTTATATTTACTTCATTCATTTATATATGTGACCGGCAAAGTAGGAAATATGAGAAGTATTACATACTTTGCCTAGGCATTATATATAATGCCGGATGCTATTACCAGGCAGTATGTATACCAGGCAGTGGCCCCTGACCTTAAAAAAAACATCAGTGTAGGGTGTACCGGGCAAATGTATTCCGGTCAGTGGCCCTTGACCTTAAAAAAACATTGCCCGGTATACCCTACACTGATGTTTTTTTAAGGTCAAGGGCCACTTCCCGGTATATATTTGCCCGATACTCCAAGCACTGATGTTTCTCCTAATCTATCGTCAGAAAGTATTAAAATATCGAATAAATGTAATTAAATCCACGAATAAATTAATATCAAATCGGAGGTAATAAATATTTCGGACATTCACCAAAACGACTATGTGATTATCAACATTCACCGGTGAAAGTTAACAACCACCGATTTCGGTCATTCACAATAACATGCACATCATTTACATAATAACCTCATCAGGACGTTTATTTCAGACTTTGCCTAAATAGCATCCGGAATTATATATAATGCCTAGGCAATATGTGAAATATAAATCATTTCATAGTTTGCCGGCTAGTTTTAGGCATTAGATGTAATGCCAGATTTCATACTTTGCCGGTAACATATACATTATAATTTTGTTTACATGCATTTCAATGAAGTTTCGAAATTACGTTTGAAACAAATAATTCATAGAATTTCACTAGATACACAATTATAAATTGAAGACTCCTCAGCCCTTTACACTCTTTATTTTAACATGAAGTGCAAAATGCAAACACCAAAGAAAAAGTAAGAAAAAACGGCGTATCTAACCGATCTAAGGGGGGGGGGAACGCAACTCTTTCTTATAAGTTAATTATGAAGCTTAATTTTAAAAATACAACTCAGTGTGATAGTTTATACGAACTGTTCGCTTTTAACTTTTCATTTCAGCACAAATTATAGCTCACGTAGTTTCAGGTTTTCATTGGCTAAGCGAGTGAAAGAATATCATCCAGAAATTTGTAAACATGTACGTTTAAGAGATCACGGTTATGACTTCTCGCTTGATATTTCAGTTTCTTGTTTCAATCGCGAATAAAAAATTACATTTTTTTTAGCAGCGCATACACATTTGGTGTTTTCTGTATGATAGATGTAACATTTTTTAAAAAAATAGCCCGGAAAGGAGGGATTAGTTATTCCCTACCTTCCAAAATTAATGCTGGTCTATTTTTGCTTGTAAAAACATCTCTATCTCTTAACGAATCTGGACTTAGAGA